TTAAAATGAGATACTTAAGTATGTCACAATTTATCGATAACATTGATTAAGTATTTGATGTAAATTAATTGAATATTAATATGTTATAATATTAATTATAGGCGAGAAAATATAAAAAAAAAGAAATCTATCGATTTAGAATGCGAAGGTTTGCTGAACAATATATAGACGAGAGACAGAAGTGTTTATAAAATGATCGATTAATCGATTAAAATTTAACATATCGATCAAAAATTTTTTACGAGGCTTAGCTTACGAGGTTTGTGTTCCAGAAAATAAGGGCTGTTCATAAAAGACTCATAAATGTGTAAACGTTCACATATTAATATCTCCAGGGTATCTGCGAGCTGTACATCTACCCTGGAATTATTCAAACTTAATATTAATAATTACTAAATACTTTTATGACTAAGAAAAACAAGAATTTTCAATTTATTTTAACTTCAAACTTTCCTATAGGGTATCAATAGTCTATCCTAACTATCATAAACATATTAATCCATATTCCAATGGCATACCAATTTAATTCCCAACTAAACTATATAAATTATCTCCATCGGTATATCCTGTTATTAAAGGGTATTCGCTAGTTAGGCTGCTTATACATTGTAATAGTCTCCTTTGCCCACATCTTGCCCTTGCGAATCTCTCTATCTGTGAGCTATACTCGACTCATGCTGACACTTTGTCGTTTTTATCGTTTCAGCGTTAATTCGGTTAAGCACTTAAAGCGACGTCAACGGCTGGCCAAAAAATAAGAAAGAAACAAAGAAGGCGAAGAGGTAGGCGGGGCCCATGTGGCCCACAAGCGGCCGATGCGACGTCAATGCGTTGACTACAACAGCAAAAGCAACAACAACAGCAGCAACAACTTCAATAAGAAAAGCCAAGTCAAGTAACAAACGAGAACAAATTGCTTGGCCAAGTTACGTGCATAGTTCAATTGAAGGTGAAATCCACTAGCTAAAGCCCTGGGAGTAACAGAGAGGGAGAGTGAATAAGTGAGTGAGAGAGAGAGAGAGGAGAGTGTGTGAGCGAGAGTGAAGCCTCGGCCAGTACCCGCATCAACATGTCCAGCAGCCATTCGGGCACAATTGGCCGTAAACGCGTTGGCAGCGGCAGCGCCATCGGCAGCGAATTTTACTATGGCAGCAGCATAAGTGGCTCGAACCCCGGCGGCGGTGGCATTAGCAGCTCGAACCCCAACGGAGAGCAACAGCAGCTGAGGCGTCAACGTTCAGCCGAATGGCATAGCCATCGACATGGACACGGCTATGGCAGCAGCAGCGAGGACGAATATCAAAATACCGCCCAGGCAACGGCCTTTGATACGCAGCTGTTGGCTCAGCTGCTGCTGCAGAGTCAGCAATTGGCAAGTGAGTAAACCACACGCACACGCACACACACACACACACACACACACACGCACACTCATATGGTCAGAGTCACAGTTACTGGCATAGAGCTACATCGTGGCTAAGTAAGCGATTTATAAGTCGGTCGAGCCAACTAAATATTCATTATTTTATTTAATTGAATTATTCAGTAGTCATCGAATCTAATCCGCAAATGCCCAACAGAACTTGACCCAAGGTCAAGCCAAATGATACTCGATGATCGTATGGACTTGATTATACCCTGTGCAGGACTTCAACTTGGATTGGATCATCATTCTGCTCTACATTTCCAACCCACAGCAAATTCAATTCATAATTGAACTGAAATCTTTGTATATCCAACTCGAAGGCACTTGAGCTCAGTTTCAATTAGTGCTACCTCAGTTACAGGGTATACTCCAGTTACTCCGACTCTTGTTTTTGCCTCTGCTTTGTTAGTTTTTGCTTTGTTTTTGGGCTGAGCTTTGGCTCTGATTGGATTCAATTCGTTTCGAGCCAACGTGACGCAACGCATTGGGATTTGAATTGCATTGATGGATTTTTGGGATTTAGGTTTCGTCTCTGGGCTTCTTTTTTTTTTTTTTTCATTGGTTAAAGCAATTTTGTTCTTGTCATACCCAATACTTGGCAGGCCTGTGCCGTAAAAACTGAGATTTAGCTGAGAACTGTGTCTAGAACTGTGACCAAATATTGAATTGAACTGGTTAAGTTCTAAGTGAACTATGTATTTAGTTTATGCTCCATCGCTGTGGACAATTATTTAATTGATATTGAATAATACATAATTCCCTGAGTTATCATTTCTATTAAGTTTATTGTTCATTGTATTATCCGCTGAATTCAGTAATTCCAGTTGAAGTTCCATTTGCCTTTAGTTCATCAAATGAAATTCGAGAAATTACATATAAAATTCCACTAACTCCAACCAAAATAAATATCGTTAATTCTTAACATTTTGCAGAAGCAAATTTCTGGCTTAATGAAAATTTTGCGCAATTTCAACTCTTTGCAAGTGCGAAAATTGCAAATTTGATATTGAATATTCAATAAAAGCTGCGATTAATTTGCGTTTCAAGTGCGCTGGGGCTGATAAAGATTGACTAACTGAAAGTGAAGCTTCAATTCAATTACAAAGGCAGCTGAATTGGCGGCGATGGTGCATGGGTAATGGGGAATGGGGAATACGAATTGGGAATGGGGACGAGTATGGGAGCTCTTTTGGTCTGAGTGTTATCGAGAGCCAGCTGAGGGTCTCGCAAGGAGCGCCTAATCGAAGCATAAAACGCAAATCGGCGTCTGTTGCGCGATTTTTATGTTCGTAATGCATATTGCGTTTTGTTGTTGTTCACGTTGTCGGTGTGTGTGGGTGAGTGTGGGTGTTTTGCTTTTTATTGTCTGTTAATATTTAATGCAATTTACGATTCATTTTTTACAACCTCATAACATTGGGTGCCCCCACGGCCGACTGGGGAGCGATTGTTGCTCTTTACACAGAGGACCATGTCTACAGGGGTCGACCGTGACGATGGTGGGGAGGGGGAGGGTAGTAGTATGAGCATGCCAATGTCTAAATCTGTAACGACGAACTCTTGACAGAGCATATTGAGAGCATCACCAACTACATTTTGAAGGTTATGCTGAAGATTTTTAATAGATGCTTCATTGAGCTGTTAAATGAAACTCATTTATGTGGAATGGAATGCGCATTCGCAGTGCGTAAAGTATATTGCCTGATACATTGTTAGACCATGGCAAGAATTTACATTGAAGCATTACTAGCTCGTATTGAAATTTTGCATGAATAAGCTCGAGTGCTCAAGACAAGACCAAAACTCTGGAGAGAGATAAAGGAAGACAAAGAGAGATATAAACTTTCTTCAGTAAAGATTTCACGTGTTCCCACTTAGTGATCTTAATCAGAATCACAAGAGAGTTCGGCTAATCAACAGAGAGAGTCGAGTGTGGCATTGGAATATGACTTCCATTCTATTCCTTCTAGACAATTAGGTAGACAATCGAGTATTTTTGCCCACTGTTCCCATATCGTTATCATGCACATCAATCAGAAAAGAACGAAATTTAACTTCACCTACCTACTAAAATCTCCATGGCCAAAAGCTATTTTTGTCAGAAAAAAAAAAAAAAACAGCACAAACAACTGCAGCCCCAGCAGCCTAAAGCCGGGTCAAGCCCATCTTAGCCTGAACTCGAATCGGGAACTCTGTCAGCAATGCTCGTCGAGTCTACCAACTGCGTTCATCACTTACACATCACGTCAATTCAAATGAAAAACCCGTTATGTCGCTGCATATATGTATGTAAGTGCTGCAACTTGCAACACTGTTTTCAAAGCAACTCTGAACCACAGAGTTGCAGGAAAATCTATAATCGAAGCAGGCTTCCGTTTGCTATAAAAGGCCGTGTTCTCAGTGAGAGGCTCAGTCTGCCTCTGTGGCTCGCCCAGAGCAGGCTCAATTTTTTTTACAACTTTTTTTTTTTGAATTTTTTTTTGAAATTTTTTTTTGAAATTTTTTTTTGAAATTTTTTTTAAATTTTTTTTTTATGTTTGTTTGCAAGTTTTTCTTTTATGCAGTTTTTGCGCTGATTATTTTTAATCAGTAAGTACAAAAACTCCAATGGGTTTGAGGTGGAAGCGTCCACATGGGGTGCTCATTCCCTGACGACAGGATATATATTCCTGTTTCGTCTAACGATTGTAATTTGTCCACACTTGAATTCGTACTTGTGTGAGTCCTCCACAGTGGAGAGAATTACTTAGAAAGCTGTGTTAAACACATCGAATATGCTTGCAATGAGGATTGAGGTGGGAAGTTATAAGACATCCTCATGCCTGGCAACAGGATATATATTCCTGTTTCATCAAACGATTGTAATTTGTCCACACTTGAATTCGAACTTGTGTGAGTCCTCCACAGTGGAGAGAATTACTTATATATTGTTAAACACATCGAATATGCAGGCAATGAGGATTGAGATGAGAAGTCTATAAGACATCCTCTGGCGACTGGATATATCATCTGCTTCGTTCAACGAGTTGTTTTCTATAGTTGTGGACGTCTTCCAATGTCGTCCTCAGATGTTAATACCAAAATATTTTATGAAATCACATGTGTGATTCAAAACAACTCTGAACTTCTCAGTGGGAGGCTCAGTCTGCCTCTGTGGCTCGCCCAGAGCAGGCTCAATTTTTTTTTTGCAAGTTTTTTTTTTCAGTTTTTGTGCTGATTATTTTTAATCATTAAGTACAAAAACTCCACATGGGGTGCTCATTTTCTGACAACAGGATATATATTCCTGTTTCGTCTAACGATTGTAATTTGTCCACACTTGAATTCGTATTTGTGTGAGTCCTCCACAGTGGAGAGAATTACTTATATTGTTAAACACATAGATTATGCTTGCAATGAGGATTGAGGTGGGAAGACTTATAAGACATCCTGATCCCTGGCAACAGGATATATCATCCTGCTATGCTTCCCAATGTCGTCCTCGGGTGTTGATAACAAAATATTTAATGGAATCGCATGTGTGATCCTTTAGTGTGGGTTTGAGCTTTTTTTTTTTTTTTTTTTTTTTTTTTTTTGTATTTTTGGGAGCTTTGAATATTAAGTGATTTCTTGAGTATCGTTTGTTTTCTTATAGTATTCTTTATCTTTTTTTTTTTTTAATCGTGTATTTCTGTTTTTGAAGTCTTAAAAAAGTCTGTTTACCCACAACTTTCCTG